GCTCTTTCCACGTTTGGCTGGCTTTAAATGGATCAGTGCGTGTGAAGAGTGGGGAAAACAGGGGGGTGTGTGTGTGTGTCTATCTGGCATCGGAGCCATTTGCTTCTCTTTGGAATAAGTGCTGCTTCAGTAATGGCTGCCTGTTTGTTTTTCCTCTGCGTCTCTCCCTTTTAACCGGCAGGATTACTACAAATCAGGGATAATCCGCTGCCCTGATGGGATATCCATCCCGGAGCTGAGAGAGGCATGTGACTACCTTTGCATCGCCTTCGACTACAGCACCATCAAATGCAGAGACCTCAGTGAGTATTCATTAACATGACAAATGCACTAAACAGATTTGTCTTTTTGTACCGGAATATGCTCTGATTGTCACCGCAATGGTGGAACTGAACGGTATTCCGAGCATTACGGATGTCTGAGGATGGCAGATACGAGAGAGCAGAAGTAGGTCAGTGCCGTATCCGGTGTGATTGTCAGATATGGGTCACTGGATGCTGATAGCATTGTTAGCGTTCACATTATTGCTTTTTTTAATTGAAAGAATCATGCATGTGTCATGATATGGCCGGATTGAATCAGTAAGTCAGCCGCTGAATCGTAATGAGCTGATTTGAATAACGCTCTGGAACTTGTCTTCTGCAGGTGCACTCATGCATGAGCTGTCTAATGATGGCGCCCGGCGGCAGTTTGAGTGCTATCTGGAGGAGATGGTGCTGCCTCTGATGGTGGCCAGCGCTCAGAGCGGAGAGAGGGAGTGTCATGTGGTGGTGCTGACTGACGACGACGTGGTGGACTGGGATGAGGAGTATCCACCGCAGATGGGAGAGGAATACTCACAGAGTCAGTTCACTTCACCTGCACCTCAGTTACACACTGATGTCTGTGTCAATCACAGTGCTACTGCATTATGGGTAATTTCTCAGGGGATTTATGAGAATTGATTGTGGTCATTAGTGGTGTGTGCATGTGGTTTTTGAACACCTTTGGCCCTTATAGCTACGAACATTGAATGAAACCTTAAATTGTGCAGCTTGTTGTGTGCTGTTTTGATTTTGACCTTGTAGATGATAAAATGGGTAGCAACCACATAGCAATACACTAACATAAGCCAGATTTTTGTTTTTAGGCAGAAAAGACAGGATAAAGCAAAGATCAGTGTATGTTTGTAAGGAATGTGTTTGTCATTTTTGCTCTCAAGTTCATAATGGTTTTGTTTTTGTGTCCTGCAGTTATATATAGCACAAAACTATACCGTTTCTTCAAATACATTGAGAACCGAGACGTCGCCAAGTCTGTTTTGAAGGAGAGAGGACTGAAGAAGATTCGATTAGGCATTGAAGGTAAGACACAGAATAACAGGATGGGGAAAATGGGTTTCACTTGGCTGTTTTCAGAAATTAAATTAGCTCATTTACACATTTAAAAGGATAATCAAATCATAATTTCACCCATATGTCGTTCTATAATAGAAGATAGTTGGAAGATTGTTGGTAACCAAACAGCTTAGTTCCCATTTGCCAAAAAAATACAGTGGAAGTCAATGGAAACCCAAACTGTTTGGTTACTAACATTCTACAAAATATCTTCAATATAATAATTTGCAATAATAAAAATGGTAGAATTAAAATAAAGAATTAATAGTTTGCATAAAAAAAAAAATATATATATATTATATAATAATAAAAGTTTGTTAAATAAATGTTATATATACTTTTATAAACTTAATATTGACACAGTGTATGACTGTTACATTAAAAAAAAATATACATGTAAATATACATATGTGACCCTGGACCACAAAACCTGTCATAGGGGTAAATTTTTCGAAATTGAGATGTATACATCATCTGAAAGCTGAATAAATAATCTTTCCATTGATCTATGGTTTGTTAGAATAGGACAATATTTGGCCGAAATACAACTATTTGAAAATCTGGAATCTGAGGGTGCAAAAAAATCTAAATATTGAGAAAATTGCCTTTAAAGTTGGCCAAATGAAGTCCTTAGCAATGCATATTACTAATCAAAAATTACGTTTTGATATATTTACTGTAGGAAATTTACAAAATATCTTCATGGAACATTACTAACTTTACTTAATATCCTAATCATTTTTGGCATAAAAGAAAAATAGATAATTTTGACCCATACAATGATTTTTTTTTAGCTATTGCTACAAATATACCCCAGCGACTTAAGACTGCTTTTGTGGTCCAGGGTCACATATACATTTATTTTAAAATACACAGAACTTTTATTTAATAACTTTTAAAATTTAAAATTGACACTTTGTATTACAGTGTTATCTGAGAAAAAAAAAAATTATGTGCACATACATGCATGCACATTTAACATTTTTAAATGGACACTTTGTGTATGAAAAAAAAATACACTGGAAGTCAATGGGAACCAAAACAGTTTGGTTACCAACATTCTTCAAAATATCTCCTATTATGTTCCACAAGAAAATCATACATGTTTGGAATGTCACAAATGTGAATAAATGATGACAAAAACAACATTTTCCACTTTTGGTTGAACTATCCCTTTAATTAGCATTCCTGCTAATGCTGTGCCTGTGTTTGCACCTAGGTTACCCAACCTACAAAGAGAAAGTAAAGAAGCGGCCCGGTGGGCGTCCTGAGGTCATTTACAACTACGTCCAGCGGCCCTTCATCCGCATGTCCTGGGAGAAAGAGGAAGGCAAAAGCCGACACGTGGACTTCCAGTGCGTGAAAAGCAAGTCCATCACCAACCTGGCCGCAGCTGCCGCAGACATCCCTCAAGATCAGCTGGTGGTGATGCACCCCGGGCCTCAGGTGGACGAACTAGACATCCTCCCCAACCACCCTCAGCCCAGCCACCATTACGATCCTGATCCCGACGCCTCATCCCCGGCCATCTGACCCTCACACACACCCACCCACCCACACACACACACCCACCCACCCACACACACACACAACGTCACCACTGGAGCACTGCAGAGAGAGGCCAGCCAAGTCCCGCTGCCAAGACCGCATTGCCTTTCAAGTCCTCTCCTGCCTTAAGAGTCTCAAAGACGATCGCTGCGGTAGCACATGACCTTTGGACACTTTGCCTTTCTTTCCCTCATAGAACTCAACCAAAGGAGGTTTTTGTATTTAATTAGACACTCAAAGTCGATAATCACTCCTTTGATTAGTATCTGAAGAGATTGTACTATGTTTTGGTGCTGTGTAGCTACTGCTGTTTAACTTGGCAATAAAATGGAGCACAATCCACTGGAGCACCCTGCGATGAAATGAGAATCCCATCTGGTTTTGTCACGTGGACGGGGCGTAACGGAGCACCTGTGGAGCTTCACTGTGCATGGCCTCTGAACGAGTACTGAAGTGATGTCACATGTTTATTGTACCGTACAATTCATTTTGTTGTTATTTGTAGCTGCAGTGAGGTTCATCAGGAGAGACGTTCCTCTTGCTCGAGGAATGTTATTTTAATAAACACGATCAAATCAGCATGCTTGGTTTATTAGATTTGATTCTAAATATAGAAATGACTATATTCATGTTTTTGTAGAATTTTATAGGTAGATCCCAGGAAGATGTATCATTTAAATTTCACACAAAACAAAAATAAAAGAAATTTTGCACAGAGAAAGTTAAGACTATTTTAATATGCTTTTTTGTAACAATTGAAGGGATGGATTTAATCAAAAATATCTTAATTTGTGTTCCGGAACGGAGGGCTTACGTGTTTAGAACAACATGAGGGCGAGTAATTGAGAATTTTTATTTTTGGGTGAACTATCCGTTTAAGCACATTTCCCTGACATCATTGAATTGTCATGAAAATGTTGATGCAAAAATTAAATAAGATTTTTTTTTTTAAGTGAAAAATGTATTAATGTACATAAACATCTATATACATCACAGTTCAAAAAGTTTGTGGATAAGATTGTTCTGTAAAAAGGTCTGTTATACTCGTCAAAGCTATATTTCTTTGATGAAAACTATTAAACTAAATATTACAATTTAAAATAACTTAGAAATAAATTACATTAAAATACCAGTGATGGAAAAGCTGAATTTTCAGCAGCGTTACTCCAGTCTTCAGTGTCATATGCTCCTTTAGAAATTATTTTAATATGTTGATTTGCTGCTCAAGGAACATATTTGCTATTCACCTTTAAAAAAAAGATTCCATCACACTTTGTCACTCGAATTAAACTACGCTTATAAAATGTTTTTGACCTACAAAATAATTCACAATGGTGTTAATTGATTTTTCAGAACTCAGTTGTCAAGCTAGTCTCCTTCCCCTGACAACACACTTCATTTCCTCAAAGATCTTACCACTGGATGGCAACATAGAACAAAAATATCTCAGCCACGGACCAATCAAAAGCCAGGGAAAGAGACCAAGCTGAAGCAGGCATGAGAACAGCTCCATGAGGAAACATCTCTAGCAATTCTCCAAAAGACTTTGATAATCTGTGGCAGCCAGCATATCTATTATTCATCAAGGGAAAAAACTAATCAATAACACAAAAACGAAAAAAAAAAAAAACATTCTGAAGACAATATTTTTATTTTATTTTAAAAATATCCACTGCTGATACGTTACACTTTTACCATATATATTTTGCATAAAGAAATCTTACATAATAGAATTACAATATTAGTTACAATCTGCATATAGAATATTTAACATTTCAACAACTTTTGTACCACTGGATGGCAACATAGAACAAAAATATCTCAGCCACGGACCAATCAAAAGCCAGGGAAAGAGACCAAGCTGAAGCAGGCATGAGAACAGCTCCATGAGGAAACATCTCTAGCAATTCTCCAAAAGACTTTGATAATCTGTGGCAGCCAGCATATCTATTATTCATCAAGGGAAAAAACTAATCAATAACACAAAAACGAAAAAAAAAAAAAAAACATTCTGAAGACAATATTTTTATTTTATTTTAAAAATATCCACTGCTGATACGTTACACTTTTACCATATATATATTTTGCATAAAGAAATCTTACATAATAGAATTACAATATTAGTTACAATCTGCATATAGAATATTTAACATTTCAACAACTTTTGTAGTGTAAAAACATTAAAACACAAACAAAACGGTATATATATTTATATATGTATAGAAAGATATCCATCTTTGCTGATGGGTCGGCCGGTATCTACAGAGAAACAGGCAGATCGTGAAAAGTCGTGTGAGAATCGTGGAAAAAGCACAGATCTCCGTTGAACAAGAGGCGGTTGGAAAGAAGTATGCAGCTCAACCATTGATTCTGTGTGCTTTGAGTAGGAGGTCCCGTATCTAACAGCCACAGCGCGTTAGCCTCCGCACACCGCTGCGGTGCACTTCCTGTCCAGGAGCCCCTGCGGTTAGACCTGTTTAGCCTTGGACCCAGTGAGCATCCTGGTGGGAGTCTGCTGTGGTTTCACAAAGGCCAGGGAAGGTCGCTGAAATCCACAGGACCGCCGAGGCCAGCGTCAGCTTCTAGGAGGCTCATGATGACGGCCATGGCTGCCTCGTCGTTACTGGGGCTGCTGGATCCGGGCTCTTCCATGATGTCAATACTGAGATGGGAGTTGTCACCTGCAGGCGGAGAATCGCTTAGTGTATTCGCTTGAGAATATTACATGTGATTGACTGAAGTGAGATTGATTCAGTGTACTCACTCATTAATGAGTTATTTGAATAGGGGTATCCTATCGAATCGGGTCCAGACAAAATTCCTGCTGAAGGCAGATCTGGAGTTCCACCATTTTGAATCTAAAAGATAAAAAAAATGTTACAGAAGAACAAAACTGTAACGTAAAAGAATCAAAAGAAACAAGACACTATTTTGTTTTATGCACCGGTCAATTTTTAGATTTGGGGCTATTGGTTTTTTCATAATATACTGTTTCTGATTAATTCAGGAAAACATTCGAAAAATACATATTTAAATGTTTATTTTATTACACTATTTACTTCTGTGTGTATTTTAAGAAAATGGCCTTTAAAATCACGTATATGTAAATACGTACAAATAAATAACTTTACAGTTTTATTCTACAGAGGGATTTGCTGCCATATTTTATATACAGCATTATATAAAATTGTATTCCTAGAAACGTTAAAACTGCGTTGACAGTATTTTACGATTTATGGACAGTATTTTACGATTAATGGAGTGAAGACATCCAAACTACCCTCATGTAAAAAAAAAAAAAAAAAAAAAAGATTTCTGATTAGTTAGTTTTGGGTTTTTTTTTTGGAAATGTTTGAAAATTA